GAACAACTTTTGGGAAAGCAAGGCAATGTGAAATTCAATGGAAAACGTCAGCTCAACTCATATCATTGTGAGAAAATTCTTTTTCTACCAGTCCTTCATCACCTTAGACGAAATAGGGTGAATACCTCTGAATACATTGAGCCGACCGGACACGAGATCAATTGGAAGACAACAGAATAAAGGGCCTGATATGGTGAGAACACGAGGAAGCAGAAGATTATGAAGGCCATTCTTGGTTGCAGCAACCATTTCTCGAGGTTCCTTTCCAATTTGTCCATATATACATTTGCCAACAGAGGCTAGAGTGAAGATCCTTTGGTTAGTCTAAATATGTGCTCTTGGATATTGCCGATGAAGTTAAAATATGTGGTACTTACTGTCAGGTTGATGAGTCGGGTTAACAACTGCAGGATATCCTCTCCTTCGAAGATATCCAACAGAGCGGTGCTTGCCTTCTTGTATGAGATGTTTATGCACATGGATTGTACATCGAAACTTACCAACAATTCCCTCCCCACCAGCCCAATGTTTTGTATCCTTTGAGAAGTTTCATATAAATTCCTAACGGTATTTGAGGATCTTTCGCTTACTTTCTTGAGCTTCAAGCAGATGAATTTCGTTGGCTTGCGTTTTGCTCCGTACCTGTTGCTGACGCTTAATCTTAGCGGCTTTCCCTCCTTGACTATCGTTGCTAGTCCATAGGCTGTCAGTGATGCTGCGTCGATTTCCCCGTTGTTATTCATTTCCCTTGGCATATCCTTCATTATGCCCTTGATCTTCATGGTTGGATGTGTTCTGGTCGTCTAGAACACTTTCCATTTTCCCTGTGTACCATTTCCTATCCATTGCCACCGTCGCTCCTTCCATATTATTTAGGCAACTATTTGGACATTCGTCAATTCGCTTATGTGTATTGTTTCTTGATGTGACAGGATTCTTGAGATTATTTCCATTTTCATCTCCCATTTCATATCTTCTGAATAACTCTCCGAAGTATATTCGCAAGCTCCACAAGAATATCTTCTAAAACCATTTCTTCGTTACCTGCTTCAAGAGACCCATACCTTCTTAATCAAGACGGATTGATAATAGTTTCATTACCTTGTTCCCAACGTCGTTCGGAGCAGTGGATGCCTTAAGTACAAAAACATCGAAATTTGGTAGGGTTGGCTGACTCTTTCACTGCTTTTATGCCCCATATGTAAGCACCTCCTTGTCCTGCCTACTATTTATCATATCCCGGACCCTTTAAGACTTCTGGACTGTCCTACTCTGGAGTTTGTGAAAAGTAGTGAGAATCCTGCCTAGGCCTTGTCTGGGCCTAGACTTAATGTCTATGAGTCCCCTAATATCGTCCAAGTAGCACTTCCCCATTACAATGCAGAACTCACGAACGATACCAAAAGGTCTGCAACAATTAAAAGAGGCCAAAAATCAATCATCTTCTCTGACCGACTGAAATAAGTACATTATTTGGTAATATTATCTCCATGGATTAATCGGAGATGTAAAGACCAAAATGGTATAGCCTTTAGTATTACCAGAAAAAAGAATGCCAAAATGATATTACAATTATCACTAAGTCTTAGCCTTATTAACTTTATTTGATTTAATGTAATGAGGAAATGATAGTTGAATTTTCCCACAATCAGATGAATGGGCATAATTTTTTGCGTCATTAAATTTTAAATAGCCTTGCCTCCATAAAGCTATTCTTAGCCTGACAAGAGTAGACTGTAGTTTCCATCTCGCCTGAACTTGTCTCATCAGCTCTCCTAGTGGGACTCGAACCTGAGGCCGTATGGTGCAGTGTCCCTGCGTTACTTGAAAGGTCAAACATTTTCTCATATCAAATTCTGTGTTGAGATTGTCGGTGTGGCAATGGTGTATTTGGTATAGTATTCGACTAGATTACTTATTTTTCCTTTCAGAAGTCGGGTTTACCGGATGCAGGTTAATCTGATTTAAGAGACATATTCACCCTTTTTTGTTGAAGGTGAAAAAATATGTGTCTTGATCACTTTGGGAATCATTTCCCCTCTCTTCAAGGGAATCCTCGGCTTGGCCGACAGGATTAGGGTAGGCTGGGCTCGTTTCTTCCGGGGCAAGATGCCTTACGTAAAGACTTCTTCAAGCCATAAGCCCTCCTAATAGTTACTTTGCCAGGTTGGAAGAGTTTCCTTTGCTTACAACACTCTTTTCGCAGCACTTCAATGACAAGTTTGGTTCAAGGAAGCCATTTCTTGTTACTGAGTCTGCCCAAAGTCGGTTGGGTTGAAAATGAGCCTACTTCTCCTCCCAGGGGCAGTCACCAGAGTCGTATTATCTCCTTGCCCCATCGGCTTTTGAGGAAACCTCTCCCACAGAATTCGGGTGACATGCAACATATCTGGCTGTCTTATTATGAACTTTTGTTGCCCAATGTAGGTTAAGGGGAGCAAGTTACAGTTTCTACGGCCACAACTATGAGTAGGCCTTTGGATGCAACCGCATTTTTATATTAATCCAACGTTATTTTTAAGCAGACCTGCGGGATAATTATTCTCAAGTTATACAAGGTTAGGCCGATCCAGGTTTTGAGCCGCCTGAAAAGAAGCGGCTAAAACCAATATCTCTTGTCTTGATTCGAATCACTTTTCAATCCACATTTTATCTCTCACATGAAGACAAAAAGTTCAGCAACATAACCAAACGTGTATCTAACTGTGCAATCGGAGTGATGGATGAAATATATGTATATATATATTAAAAAGGTGATAATGGTCATCAAAATATGATGGCCGAAAACGGAGGTTACTTTTTTTGTCCTAATTACTTTGATTTATCGAGACTACCAATAGATCACTTATATGAGATGTATTCACTCTATTTCGCTTAAAGTAATGAATGACTGGTTGTTGAATTTTTCTTCAATCTGATGAGTAAAGTTGACTTCAGTTCCATCTCAGCTCGAAAAGTAAAGCTGAGAGGTACTAGCGTCAAAATAGCTTGAGCAGAAGACTTCCAAGTGAGACAATGCCCTGTGCCTATTATAAAAGGCGGGGTTTTTTCTGTTTCTCATCGACGAAATCATGTAAAAAGCGAGATCTTCTCTCTGCCCGAAAGAAGCGACCCAGTCGTCAGTTCTCTGCAATATCATAAAATACGACCAATATAAAAAAGCATAGAGCATTACAATGGGACAGGCAAAAAAAAGTTCGGTCAATACTAGCATGGAATGTCGTATAGTTCTTAAAAGACAAAATTTCTGGCAACTGAAAAATGTTGGCAAAACGGAATATCGAATGAAATCCATGATATGCAGCTTGAAATTAAATAGCATGATAAATTGCAATATGCCTTTTCTTTTAGTTTATACTGGCCACTCGATTTCAACTACGTCAACCGTAGAATAGAACAGAAGTGGCATACAGGAGTGTGGCGGAAGTGGAAAGAGGCGCCTGTTCGGCTGACGCCAAGACATGGAATGCCTCGACCTTCATAATAGAGACTGTTTGTTGAAGTTAATTTGATAGGAGAAATATAATAAAAATTAGGACAGGAAAAGAGAGACTTAAAAATACATCAAAGGAGGGACAGCAAAGCGGTAAGCGATGTAGAAGAGATGAAGGAAGAGGGGAAAGAAAAACGCAGAGGAAATTACGGAACAAGGAAGTAATAAAATTGAGAAATGGAAACATGCAAATGAACAAAGAAGGAAAGAAAAAGGAGAGAAACGACAGGAGAAAGGGCGATAGGAAGAATTGTGATATGGTGGGAAGAAGCAAAAAAAATGTTTGGTTAAGAAAGGAAAGGATCCAAGTTTGAAGAAGCAATAAAACAAAGGAGGAATAAAAAAGAATGAAAGAGGAAAGAAAGAAGAAACAAAGTGGGAGCAAAGGAAACAACGGAACAAATAATAGACTTATGGAGGGCAGGAAGAATCAGCAAAGGCTAAAGTGAAAAAGAGAAAAAGGCGAAATCAAAGAGAGAAAGAAGAAATAAGGAAACTACGAAGAAACCAAGCTTAAGTAAGAAAAAGGATAAAAAGAGGGAAAGGTTTATTGGGAAAAATAGGAAATGAGAAATACTAAAGGAGAAGAAACAAAGTGAACAATCGAGATAATCTGCAAAAAGGTAAATCAGAAGAAATATAGAAAAGAAAATATTGGTGAAATAAAAAATATATGGGCGAAAAGATCCGACTCCATTTGACGAGTTAGACCTCGGAACCCCTACCAAAGGTTACCGTGTTACCGATACCAACTGTACAAAGCTAATTGGTGGCTGTATTTATAGACGTGCTGAAAGTGAATGAGTATGAGGATGTCGAGACACGAGGGGGCAGCAGCAAGGCAACACAAAGGAGTTGCTACAGTCATGCAGGCAGCGTAAAGACGCGGATCACTGACGTTGATTTGCAGTCAACCCACCGGCAAGTGGGATCGTGTAGCCACGACGTAAACGCCGAATGAGTGCGGTCTTGTCGACGCGAAGGTCCGACACATTTGTGGCATGCTGGCAGCAAAGGTGAGGAAGAGCTGGATACAGGAGTGAGGCGGACATGGGAAGAGGCGCTGCGACAGTCACGGCGAGACTCTACAGAGGTTGGCGCAAACGACGAAGACGAGAGGGCACGCAGTGCAAATGTGGCGCCCTTGGCTGTTGCAGCTTAAAACGATTGCATTATTTGAATGGCAGCTTCTGATTGGCCCGAATGGTCCCGATCTGATAGGTCCAAAGGTCGGCTCAATACACTGGCGACATTTGATTGGCCGCAGTGTACAAAGAGTGTGGATGAGTCATATTCACAACTGACATATGTCCTAAATGATTGTTGGGAGATGGCTGCGTAGATGCGGGGTGGAAAGAGGGAAAGGAGGAAATGAAGTAAAAATGGAACGATCAAGGAAAGTGGGAAAGACGACAAGGAGGAGTTCATGAAGGTGTTAACTTAGAAGTGAATATTAAATTAGAAAGGTAATTAGGTCAAGAATACTTTGGAAAATATCAGAGAAATTGCAGAATAACGATACAGAATATGAAATATGGCATGAGAGCTTACAAGGAATGCGGAGGAACAAATAAGCAAAAATATAGTGCTATATATCTCCAAGTAGAGATGTGATTTGATGAATCGCAATTGGACGAGATAAGACGATTTGAGATGAGTTGAGATTAGATCAGATGGTATCATATGTTATTTGATGATAGGAGAAAAGTTGAGTCGAAATGAGATAATAATAGATTAGATGAAATGAGATTAGATATGTTGATATATGATGAGATGGGATGAGGTGAGATGAGTTGCTATAAGATAAGATGAGTGGAAATTCATTAAATCACTTTTTTCTTAGTACCAGCAGTTTCCAGATCTTGAAATGATGGATACGCACAACTTAAGTAGCAAATTAGCTGCGGTATTGTATGCTCATAGTTCTACAAAAATCTTGAAAAAAATAATAAAGTGACGAAGGGAAGTCTCGGCAGTGACGAGGCCTGCGGTAAAATGGGATGAAAAATGACTAGAATGAGGTGATTCATCAAGGCTTTGGGAAAGGGAGGAGGAGAAAAAAGTAGCTTTCAATGAATAACAGCAAAACTGAAGAAATTGCAAATTCGCTTATGAAGTAAGACTAAAGCCATTTAAAGCCACATAAAGTCGGCACACAAGCAGATGGAGCCAATTTGCAGAGAAGAGAAGCGACGAAATAAAACGCAAGGATGAGAAGTTGAGGGTGAATATGATATGAATTATATAATTTGTGCAAGAGCAGCTCTCAGGCTACGAAGAAAACATATAAAGATAAACAATTTGGGGCATAATTCAAGCTCTATTTCTGAGAAACGATCGTCCGGAAAAGGATTAGATACGAGGCGAATATAGAAGAAAAAATATGGTGGAGCAAAGGAAACTACAAATGTCAGATGATATTCGATCTATTATAGACAAAAAGTAATTTCAATGAATAAAAAGCATAGATCCTGTGATGTAAAATTGAGATTGAGGAGAAATAAGGATAGATCAATAGTCCAGCAGACAAGAAAAAAAAGAGGATAGATATGTCTAAAAATGGGAAATAAATCAGGCATGTGACGAAGTTTGGCTGAAAAAAAAGAGAAAATAAAATAAAAAGAGATGAGAAGTGATGTGTGAGAAAATGAGTTTAGATAAGAGGAGTTACAGATGAGATGATACAATTGAGTCGAAATGAGGTGATAATAGAGTAGATTAATTCGGATAAGTTGAGCTAAGATTTGATTTTGCTTGACGTTGTTTTCGCAAATTGCTCATGTTAGTAGGAAGATTTAGAGGAACACACCAAGTGCGGAGTCCATTGTCTGCATAATCATTTCCAAAGTACCACGTCCACGGACCGACTGTGGAAATAATTATGCATGTAATGGACTCTGGACTCGGTGTGTTCCTCTAAGTCTTCCTACCAATATGACCAAGATGCGCAAGCAAAGTTAAAAAACTTCTATACAAAGAAAGGAGTCCGCAACTATACAAAAGGCCACGCCATCTTCGTCTTCATACATAAGATTGGATTTGTTGAAATGTGATGAGATATGATGAGAAGAGATGAGATGAGATGAGATGAGATGAGATGAGATGAGATGAGATGAGATGA